ATATAGCTGTAAAACTAATCTGAAAATTTTCAAAATAAATCACTGTTTAAAAATGTATAGTGTACATTTTTATACCTTCTAAAAATGAAACCTACATCTATGTCTGAGTTGTGAAGAATATGTATTAAGGTTATGACAATCAACACGAATGCACTTTTATGTAGAAAACCATGATTAACTCAAGTCTTCCTAACTAATGATTTACATCATGATTTAAATCAATTTGATTTAAATCAAATCCACCCTGTCAAGAACACAAAGTGAAAAAGGACTAGAAGTGGAAAGAAAATGGACATGTCTTTGGCTTTGTCTTGAGTTGGGTTTAAAGGTATGATGTTAAATCATGTTACTTGACATAGTCTGATGCCTTCTTCTAGGCAAGTAAAAGTTGTACTTTAGCAGGTGCCAAATTGGTTGAGTTTAAGTTACAGCACTCGGGGGTGTGAAAAATCCTAAACCTCAGGGTAGTCACAGCTAGGTTGATAGAAGTCCCTCAGCCTAGCTCCTGTTGCTATGGGAGGTTGTATTCCTATTGTGATGCCAGCATAACTACAGTGCTGTAGTTACACCACTATATTCCTGGTAGTGTGAAGTGGCCTAAATTTAACGTGTAGCCTAGACTTTAATGCAAACAGTTTAGCACTTGCTAGGTGCAACTTTATTTGTGTTTACTAGCATTTTAGAATATGACAGTTAGATCAAGGGAGGTAGTATGATCTAATGCACACCTTTAACACCTACTCAAGACAAAGATTAGAGGGACTACAGTTTACAGCAGAGATTCTCAAACTTGGGGTGTGATATGCTTTTGGCTGAAAAAAGCTTACTGTGCACATTCAGAGCTGTGCATCTGGAGAGTAGCCACTGCTGACCAAGTGCCCAGTTCTGAAGGCAGCACCGTACCATGATACTTTTATTTCTGTGCTGCTGGAGGCAATGTTGCCTTCAGAGCTGGGCAGCTGCAGAATGGCAGCTACTAGCAGGCTGATGGGTCTGATGACAATAAACTACTACAAACACAAAGAAATCAAATAAGTTTGAGAATGACGGGTTTGAAAGACAAATTTGCTAAATATTCCAAAATCCACATAGTATCATATATTCAGATTGTATTCAAATTTGCTGCACCTCAGAGGCTGCAGTGTAAAATCAGTTGTCCATATTTGAGGTCATTTAAGCTAATACAGATCTCCTAAAAATTGTGTGTTTGTATAAAGTCACCCGGTTCTTAGAATTTTTTTTTCTGCTCATACATGGGCCTCAGGCAGTTGTTCTGATCCTCACCTAATAGGCATTTGTCTGAGCTAGTGCATAGCACTCATTGCCCTTATAGAGAGGCAATATTTCAAAAATTGAGGGTAGAGCCGACTACTCCACCAGGGGTCAACTCAGAACCAATGAGCCTAAGAGAGCAAATTGTGTATGTGCAGCAAGACTCGTGCTCTGTCGCTGGACATGATTTGCTGGCAGTATATTGTCACAGCAATTGGCTGGCTCACTGTGCTGTGCTCTGTCCTTTGAGGCGGAGCTGCATCCATACACAAGTTACATTTCAGCCGACAGCTTTCACGGACGTGTTTTGTGCTTGTTCCATACTCTCTGCCTCCATTCTGCTTGGTTTTCTTTTGGAAGTCCAACATTTCCAGTTTCAGAGCGATATTTTAAAGTGTTCTAATATCCACCTCAGTGTTCCCTCTCCTTTTTCCATCCAGGCGTAGAATAAATGTTATGTGCACCGAGGCATGTGCAGGTGTGCACCACCATAGAAACACATGCTGGCAGCTGTGGGCACTCTGACAGGGAACACTGATCCACGTGCATATTTTTCTTTTAATTAACAGGTGTTGTCAGGGAAGTCAGCATTCATTAAAGAGAGGGAAGATGAACAATTCTAATAAGCAATTAGAGTAATATAATCATAACTCATGATCTTCAGCTATGTCCTGGACAATGGGATGGAGTGCAAAGGAAGGCAATTTGCTGGGTCATTTGATCTAGGGTCATTTGCCTGTACACACACTCTGCCATCATGAGCTACTCATAATATTTTCAGATTTTGGGGGGTTCAAAACTAGGGAATATTGGAGGCAGGGCCAGAGCACAGAGGGAGAATGTTGAGGGTGTTGCAGTGGGCCAGAGGGTGTGGTGATTAGCAGAGTTCAAGATGGCGGGGGAGGAAGGGTGTCTGCCATTTTGCCAAACATTAGCCTTTGATCTGTGTTCCGGTACAGCTGCTGAGGGTCCAGTATGTCCTAGGAGACAACCATTGTTAGCGTAAGGGATCATCCAAACACTGTATTTTTGGGGTTTTTTTTAAACAGTAAATCTTGTCCTATTAAGTATTAGGTCATTTTTTTTTCTATATTTCAACCTTCTCATAATAAAAATACAGTTAGAAAAACTTGAGAGTAAAGGAGATAACGTATGTGACCTTGACAACAACATTTCATCAAAGGGATGTCTGGCTTAACAGAGGGAACCCCCTTGCTGCATATAGAACATCATAAAGTTAATATCAGAAGAGGCTAGACTAATCAGAGCTCATTTTTAAACTGCTAGTTTAACACCCTCTACTGCCAGTTTTACAATCTTTAGATCCACCTCCAACAGGAGACACACCAGGAGACAACAATTGCTCATACCTGTGTGAAAAGTGGAGAAAAATAGTGTTTGGAGGGAAGTGGAGTGTGAAGAGAAGTACAGTGCAATGCACAGTGTGAATAATAGGAAGTCAGTTTTGGTTTGTAGTAAGGTGACCAGATGTCCTCCTTTGAAGAGGAGAGTCCTCCTTTCGAGGGGCTTGTCCTCCCCAATAATTATGTCCTCCTTTTGTCCTCCTTTGAAAAAAATTGTCCTTCTTGTCTACTTTGCCAAAAAAAATCCCATGTTCCTTTTGTTTTTGTTTTTGCGTGACCAAAAAATACCATCTGTCCGGTATTTTTTGGGAGACCATCTGGCAACCCTAATATACAAGTATGGTTTTTTTTTGTCAACTCAGTGTCCTCCTCGCACATTTTCAAATTCTGGTCACCTTATTTGTAGTGATATAGGTATAGTCCTACATCATCTGCAACAAAATAAACAAGTTGCTTTCCTTATAAAGGCATTTAAACTGGCTGAAAGAATGGAAATGAGAAAGCAAAAAGCAAGTTTAGGTATAAACTGGGGAGAGTGCTATAGAATGAAATCAGTGGCTGGCAACAGAAAGATTCAGTTTTTGATTTGATAGAAAAGCTTGTTTAAAATGGTTTACTTATGGTAGGGATCAACGTGGATCTCCAAGAGAAGTAGGACTGAACAGAATGAAACCTGTCAAATATAAAAACATGTAGCTCAGTTCAGGTCAACACTACAGCACATTGCCTTTAAGAAACAAGAATTCTGATTTTTTTTTTAATCGGTGGTGTTTTTTTTTCTTTTCTCCTCAGGCGTCGGTTAATCTCCCAGCGGTCTTCTCTGGAGACTTTGGAGGACATTGAGGAAAATGCTCCGCTACGGAGGTGATTTTATAAACTGTCTGTATGTCTCCCTGCAATGTATAATAGAGACAGATTATACTGCTCTTACTCATATTGAGCCATACCTTGCTCAGAGAGTAAAACTACCTTACCCAGGATGAAGAGTATTTGAATCTGATCCATACTGTTTATCCTCCCTCACCTGTAGGACAAATTGGTGGACTGAATTTGACTCAAAAGTCAAGTGGTTTAGACAGTAAGAAATGACAGTACAAATTAGCTGAGTAGAGAATGGAAGAGTATTTACAAGTGTTATTCTCTGTGGTAGGATTCATTAGAGCCTTAATGATAATAAATCATATTATTTAACAGACATTTTATTTCTACAAAATATAGTTTAAGCTTCTTGTCACTCTTTCTTAATTGTTCATCCTATTTGTGAATGTGTGGTTTTGTGGAGTTGTTGTTGTTTTGAGGTTGATGCTTCTGATACTGGTTGTTCTTAGGTGAAAATGCTCCATTGTGCTCTTTCATTAACCAGCACACTAGCTTTTCCCCTTACGGAGTCTGCTCTCACCCCTTTTGTATCCTCGATCCCATGCAACCATGAAGAGATGGCTTTTTTGGAGATTGCCATGATATTGTATGACTAGTCACTATGCAACTAGCCAGAGTGATGCACTCTGCAACGCTAGGTTTAAAAATTAAAAGTATACAAAGAGTTCAGGCAGAGAGTTAAGCTGCCTGTTCAGCTGTTCAGTAAGGCAAAAGTTTAATTTTAGCATTCTCTTTAACTCGAGACCCAGTAATTCAGAGGGCATATATTTGTAATTACCACATTATTTTGCTAAGCCACGTTTTGTTAATCTGCACAAAAATAGCTGTCTATCCCCACCCCCCCCAACGATTTATTAGTAGAGGCTGAAGCAAGCTGCCTTATTACTAGTACTTAATTGTTTTTATAGAGGACACTTTTTAGTACCTTGTGAAGTGGTCTTATAAATGATTCAGGCAGAAGTGTAATTGGCAAAAGAAATAAACAAAAGTGTATTTGGTGAAGTGGTGTTTTGTTTATTTCCTTGCTAATTCATAAAATCAACAGTGGCTCTAATCCCTGCCATACTGGGGATGTCCCTTTTTAGTAGGGTGTTATGGGGAGGTGCTGGCATGGGGGAAACCTTTCTCTGGAACTGTGGTCCCAGGGTGCAGGTAGAGAAGCAATACAGTTTCTACTAAGATGTGTAGTATGTGGCTGTGCCCTATGGCCTGTTCTGCAGGGGCCAATTCCCCTAACACCCATGGCTGTTCATAGAATGATCTATGAGAAATTCAGTGCACCTCACAGCAGTTTATTTCCAGATGTGCTGGGTATTTGGCCTCCAGCAGGTTTTGCTAATAGCTCCACTACTAAAAATCAAACAGAACTTTTGTCCTAGCCTCTCCTGTGTGTGACAGGCATTGCCCATGCATCTTGCTAAATCTGCTGTCATGCTTGGCCATGCGCACACTGTAGCTGGCTTTTTAAGATACTGTACATACAGACCATCTAGCAAAAGGCAGGCTTGAGCTTTTAGAGCAGATCCCACCCTTCTGCCTCAGTTGCATAGAGCTCTCTTCCTGGAGTGTATCCAAATGCAATTTCATTGGAAAGGCAAGGAGGATTTCTCAGTCTCAAATAGGGGTTTACTTTCCCTCTCTGATGCGCAGACCTTTCTGCATGTTTCTGCCACTCTGGGATTTGAGACCAGGGTAAGCTAGAGGCAGGGCTGGTGGATCTGCTACTATTACATTGTTACAATGGCTGTTCTGTCCCTTGTGTGATGGTACAGGCACCATGGAGGCATCTCCAGCCTGAATGCACAGAGTGGCTCTGCTACTTCATCATCAGGAAAGAAGTCCTTTCTCCCTACCTCCTCAGGGACACTCCAAATGCATAGCCTGGCTGCTCAGTTTATAATCTGGGCCTTAATGCATTCACTCTGGGAAGTGAGAGTCTGCATAAATCAACTGGTAATTAAAACAAAAATCTGCAGAATACACCATTTTTTCAATCTATTGTCACTGTTTATATTTTAATTTTTCTCCTATTTTAAGAAAAATATGTTAAGACGAAAAATTGCTTTTAGAATGGATATCTTCTGAGATTTTATTTCCTAGGTAATTATTGTATCATGCAAGTGTTTTAAAACTTATCGCAGAAAAAAAACCCTGAGCTCTTTAATAAAAGGAACAGGAGAATCACTACAATAACGTAGGTGACAGATTACTGCATGCTCTTTTTAAATTGTAACTCTAACAGAAACTTTTCTAAGTGGATGAGGAGGACACAAAAATGAAAATGTGTGTTGCATCTTGAGTAATACCAAGAATTCAGCTACAAATTCCAAAAACCTTTGTCAAACATACCTCAGCAAAGTCTGAAAAGTTGTATGTTGCCAGGGTTTTGTGGAGTTTGTATGTGTGTTTAATTTTAAGCCTTGTTGTTTCCAGATTTTTTGTCTTCA